TCATCTGTGGGAATTGAACCTTAGACCTGCCACTTGAGGGTTGACAACCTATCCACTTCACTAGGTCACCACACCCTTTTCTATAATAGTTTATACAAAACTATATTACTAAAAAATATTAATAAAAGTCAAAAAACCCAAGTAGTTATTTTTATAAAAAAAATTATTTGTTTTATATATTCTTTCTTATTTAATATTTTATAAACTTTTTAACATAAGTTTTATAAAGTATTTTATAAGTTTCTGTGATTATATTGATTATTAACTCAAATTTTTTAATTATAAATATTAAATACTAGTATTAAATATAAAGTTTTAAAGATTAGTAACTACTTTTAAAATATTTAAAAAAATTTTTAATAAACACTTAAATCTAATCTGTAATATATATCTATAAAATTAATTATTATTTTTTATTTTTTTTATTTTTTTTTTAATTAAACTTGTCTCTTTTGAAATTAAAGCTTTTTATTTAATAGTTAAAATATAAAGGCTTATGGCTAAGGCCTTAAAAAAGTCTTCTTATATTAGAAAATACAACTAGTCATACATATACTTTTGATGTCTAATTTAAATAGTCTGCTAATAATTCTATACTAGCTACTATATCTGCAATTTAACTAAAGGCATTGTTTATTTAAACCTTCTGTACTGTGATCTTTACTATATTACTAGATTATTTCTGCTACATATGTTAGTTAAGAAAATTTAAATACTTATTATATCTTTAGAATCCTATACCTTATTTTATACAAAATATCCTTAGAAACATTATTACTAGAGCCTTCTGTGTTCCATATATAGCTAATCTAGTTTTATATAACATGCTATAGCAGTCCAATATTTTTTTTTTTTTAGTTTATTTTGGCAACCTAGTTGGTAGTACTTTTGAGGCTTTCAACCTGAAAGTTCTTGCCTATCCAAATAATATAACCTTGGTATCTGTTTCTTAGATCTAATTTTTATAGTAACATTGTTAAAAAATTTGTATTATCTTTCTACTTGGATCTTCTTAAATAGACTTCTTGTTTTCTAATTTTACCAGATTTATATGATCATAAGGACTTACTAAAGTTTGCACTATCTAATGTCAATTTGTATTTTTTTGTATAATGTTATATTTATACAGATGCTCTATGATCTGCTAGTTATACTGATATAACTGCTATTACAGGTATTCCAATTCAATTATTAGAAATAGTTGCTATAATACAAATATTATATAGATGATTATTCAAATTTTTGTCATTGATAGAATTTGAACATCCAATCTATCACTTAAAGAGTTGACAACTTATTTACTTTACTAAGTCATCACACCCTCTTATAAGTATTAATTCTACTATAACATATTAAATAAAACTAGATTAACTATGTATAAAATATAAAAAGCTTAGTAACAATAACTCTGAAAATGTATTGTATAAAATAAAATACAATATTTTAAAAGTACAGATAAGTATCTAGAACTTTTTAACTAATATATATATCACAAATGTTTTAATAATACAGTAATGCTTATAGTTAGATTGCAAATATAGTAACTAGTATAGAATTATAAACAGACTATTTAAATTAAATACTAAAAATATATATATAACTAGTTATATTTTTTAATGTAAAATGATTCATTAAGGCCTTGATTATAAGTTCCTATATCAAAAATACTGAATAAAAACCCTAACCTCAAAAGAAGCTAGTTTAATATATATAAAAAAATTATAACTAATTTGCACCCTAAATAATATCATCCAATATTATAAAAATTTTATTATAAATAAATAAATATAATGTTAGGAGTTAAAATTAGCTTTAAGTTAAATATAAAAAGTTTAAATATATCTAAAATTTGATATTGAAAAGTTTTCTTAGAAGTTGAAACATGGTTTTTTTCTTCACTTTGTTTTAATTACACAAAATCTAGTAATATGATTGGTTTTTATACAACCAGATGATATCATCTAAAGTAAAAATTAACAATAGTCTTTTTTATAAATCTATAAATTGATAAGAAATAATATTTAACATATAATAAATTTAAGGAATCTCTCTATTTTTGTTAATACACTTTCTTGCTTAATCTGATTGACCTCCAAAATTTTTAACCCTAATTATTGACTAGGGTTAGGGTATGTTAAAGGTGGCATTAGCAAAAATAAGGATGACAATAACAATACCCAAAATTTATTTTCAAAACTTAATATTATAATATATGAGTGTTACTAAAAGAAAATCCGAAAATTTAAATATGATCTATATTTAAATTTTCGGGCTTTCTTTTAGCGGCACTCATATATAATCCTAAAAGTATACATTCATTAGATTTAATATTAATAAGTTTTTTAATTTATTTTATAAAATACAATGTATTAGAAGTAATGATATTACCTATATATAATTTTTGTAACGATGGAAATGTAAGTAGCAAAAATAACAATTTCCAATTTTATATAATTATAGAGTAGTGCTATTCGTATCTCTTAATTTTGCTATTCGTATCCTTTTATATATAAATAACCAATTCTTACTGTAATATATAAAGTTAATTTCATATTTTGAGCTATAATATTATTGATGCACAAACTATATATTGTCTTGTATCACGATTATACCATGTTAAATGATTTTTTTTATAGAGGTGGGGGTATTTTTTAACTTCAAATATAAATGCTTAGTATGGAACTTTACATGTAAATGCGCGATATACTTGCACGTTGCGAAATACAATCTATGCATCAATTAAAATTCGAATAAAATTTTTCGAAAAATTGTCAAGGCCTTTTTGATATGAAACACCTCATTTATAGATTAATTGCTCAATTCCATTTTTCATTTATTATAGTTTACACCTGAATTACTTGATTTCCAAATGTAATTCCTGATATTTTTCTATTTTATTTCTCATAAGAAAATTTGAGATTTTGCACAAATTAGGAATTATAATTGTCTAGAAATATTTACAATTTATTATATTAAACAATCATAAGTTCTAATTGACTAAGTATTGGTAGCGTATGGAGTAATATTTAAGGCGATATTGTTATATTTTTCTTCTTAACGGCACTATGTTTCTTTTGCGATTAATTATAGTGGGTCAGAATAATTTTGAAAGTTTGAAGATTTTTCAATTAGATTGTATTTACCTCAACGCGGGGGAGTACTATTTTTAATTTTTCTTTTAGCAATGCTTCCGCATTGGGTCCAAGCTATTATAAATCATAAATATCAAAATGGTTTAACAAAAATCACGATAATATTTTAGATACCTCAATATATGAATACACGGATCCATATTCATTTGGTTGATATCTTTCGGTAAGGACATCTTGAAGTAGCAGCAACTTTATTAATCTATCTACATCGATAGTCGAAAGCGTGCTTGTTTTAAAATTTGGTGGTAGTATAAGTTGCTTTGTTTTTACTACATTTTCTGTGGATTTGCTGCTTGATCCTTTCAGTATATTGACATATTGAGTTAACGTCACGTCTTTATGTCGATTATACTGTACCAATGTCACTATGTTCTTTGAAAGTAGTTAATAACAATTTACTTTGTGGAGCTTGATTTATTAATTAAATAGCTAATTTCTGCATATGAATAATGACAAGTGAAAATTTATAAATCCCGTTCTTTGAAAGTTTACTTTTAATTATAATATTTTGAGATTTAATAATAACACACGTTATAATTAATAACATTTAAATCAATTTGATGAGTTGATTCGTATCTCAAGATATTACAATTAAAAGTAAATTTAGCGAAATTTCAAAAACGTGATTTACAGATTTCCTTTGGAGTTTCCATAATGTACCTTAGCATCTTTTTGCGCATCGTACGTTGATCTTTGTTGTGTAAGTGCATTTTTACAGTTATCACAAGTGAACTGGCATTGGCTTTTATCAAATTGTTCCCCGAAATACGCCATGATTTGTTGACGTCGACAATCAACCTGATTTTCGCAGTACTTCAACATTTCCCGTAAATTAGCTCTTTGCTGCTGCTTTTGTTCATAATTTCCTTCACCATGAACAATCAATCTGTCAATAGTATGTTTATCTGAATATGAGTATAATAGCACACAGTTGGACGGATTTCCATCTCTCCCGGCACGTCCAGTTTCTTGGTAATAACCTTCAAGCGACTGAGGAAGTGAATGATGGATAACAAATCGTACATCTGGTTTGTCTATTCCCATTCCAAATGCTGTAGTTGCTACAATTATTTTATATTTATTTGAATGCCAATCGTCTTGAATACGTGTCCGATCTACAGCGTCTAATCCAGCATGATAAAATGCTGCTTTAAAGCACGCCAACCTGAGTTTTTTCGCGACTTCTTCGCATGAAGCTTTAGAGGTACAATAAATGATTCCACAATGACGTACATGGCCTGATGAATGAATGAACTCAATAATTTGCTTTTCAGAATTTGTATTTTTTTTAATAACTTTGTAATTTAAATTTGGCCGATTGAAGCCCTGAGTGATAATTTCACAGTTTTCCATGCGTAGGTTATGTATCACATCTTCTTTTACTCTGCTAGTCGCTGTTGCAGTGAGTGCCATCATTGGCACGCCCGGAAATTTTTTTCTTAACTGGCCCAAATCTTTATAATCAGGACGAAAATCATGACCCCATTGACTTACACAATGAGCCTCGTCGATTACGAACCGAGCTAAAAGTCCACGTTTATAAAGTGATTGAATCGATTCAATAGCTTTTATGCTTTTTCCCAACATCTCAGGTGTTAAATAAAGTAAAACAAGACTAGGTGAGGCCTTTTGCATTTCAAAGAATATTAAATTTCTGCGATCTAGATCTTGATTCCCTTGCAAATCTAAAGCTGGAATTCCGAGACTATTTAATCGCAAGATTTGGTCTTGTATCAGTGATAGTAAAGGAGATATAACTATCGTTATTTTGTGAGATCTTTGATTGTCTAGAACCGCTGGCAGTTGATAACAAAGACTTTTGCCTCCGCCAGTTGGCATTAAAACAAAGACGTCTTGACCATTTAGAGCAGCATTGATAGCTTTCAATTGATTCTGACGAAACGTAGCCAATTTGAAAGTATCATGTAGTACACGATAAACAGGTGAATCTGTTGATGATTGAGTGGTTTCATCTTTATCGAAATACGACGATGTCGAAATAACGGTTGCAGAATCACGATCTATAGTTGGAGTATCATTTTCTACGGATTCAGACAAGCGAGAACCGAAATCGGTGGATGATGATGACACAAATGATCCCATTGTGTCACATTCTATTTGTTGTATTCTTTGCTGTATTGCTCCAATCCGCTTTTTTGAATTTGCTCGAGTAATTTTTAACAAAGAGACTCTTGAATTATCATATTTTTTATCCCCTTCAACAATTTCATATAGTTCTTCAGAGATTTTGCATTTGATAATTTTAACTGAAACTAGCAAAGGCTGTAATTCGGTAAGTGACATATTAAGAAGGTCATGATTGTCCTCAGGCCAACTGAAATTTAGACAAGCATCTACATCATCACATAGTATTGCAAAATGTTCGATCGTATTCAATGCCGTTATCGGTGCGTTTACGGTATTTATTGATAGATCAGATGTTACAATTTCATCATTTGACGCGATATTCGAATTATTGGCGGAGAATTTACTGCTACGCGTCCATTCTTCGATTTCAGCTTTTATTTCCATTGGATCAAGTGGTTCTAGGTCAACTAACCAGTCTTGTATATCCATATCATCCTTCAGATCAGTAATTTGATTTATCTCTTTCACTTCATTAGAATTCAAATTTATATTTGAGGATGACGTAGAATGTAGATCTTTTCTTGTAACATTCTCGCAAGATGATGGTAACGTGTTTTCTTTTTCTTGTAAAGACGTAAAATTCATGTCTCGCTCGGCAGACTGTTGATGACACCTACGTTTCGTATTTTGTTCCCAGATATATGTCTCAAAATTTACTTCAGATCGTTTTTGCCGTTCTTTCCTATATTGTTCGTACCATTGAAGTTGCTGTTTCAAATTATTTCTCGGAACAGTCATCGATTGCATATTTGGGAAATCAAGTTACAATATTTGTAAACGCTTGAAAACGATTTCAATTACCTTATTTAGCGGGGTTAAATGCATGTCCCCGACAGAATCAGAACACGCGCAACTTTAACTACCCACTAATTTCTCCCCACAGTTTCGATTTGAGCCAATCAGCATAAGTCACGGGACAAGATCTGGTGTAACGTGAAAATTAACAAAACAACGAAAAATCACATTAATCTTGAAATTTCACATAAGAAATTAACACTAACCGTGACACTGACAGATTTTCACTGATCAAAAGAAAAAAACCGCTGTAACTCTATGTAATCACCTTCTGCGCATTAGTAAAAAAATTCCTTGGGAAATTTTAGCTTTGTCATAATTGTAAACCCGACCCTTTAAAAAAATTGTCGATCAGGGGTGGTTCGCAACTTTCATATTACGTTTCACTTGTCGTTACTTAAACCGTCAAGTGTACAAATTTGTACGCTTAGTTAACGGTTTAAGGGATAAGCTGATTAGAGGTTAGTTGACTTAATCGACTTTGCCGGCTAAGTCGGTCGATTTTTTGGAAATGGATACAGTACCGACAGCAAGAAACATTCAAAATACTTATAACTCAGAAACAAATCACTTTGAAAAAAATCTGTCTTACAAATTTGTTGTTTTTAGTCTGTTTATTTTTTTATAAAATTATTAAAGTTTAAAGTTTATGTAAAAAATATTGTTTATACTGTATATATTTTTCATTAATTCGAATTTATTTTACCAATCAAATTTATTATCAGACATTGTTTTGCATAATCATTATATAATAAATATAATTTGCGGGTACTGCTCATAGAAAACATTACACTCACTAGAATAAAAAAAACAAAAAACTAATATATACATTAATTAATTTAATATTTAAATTACCATGTATATAGCGATAGAATCATTTTCCCAACAACCACTCCCCTGAAACTTAATTTCCTTCCTTCACATTCCATATCTCCAACACTAATCACTTTCATTTCCCGAAACTCTATCTCTTTTATAAGTCATGTAATCTATTTTTACTTGTCCGTCTTACTAATATAAATAATTATGAACAGCTTATTTTAAATACTTAGTTCTTTATACTCACAAACTAAGATAGCGCAAAGAAAATGACTTAGACTGCATGTTATAAGTGCAAAGTGTATACGTATGTATTTCAAGTTTTTATTTTCAATGATATAAATTCTCAGTCATGTACTATATCCAGGGGTCTATTGGATAATAAATGTACCAGACCCGTTATTGTTTATATTCATTTTCACGGACGGGTTTGGGTCGGTTCAAACTTTGCTTATCATGATGACTAATCAAGCATATCGGTCTTTAATTCTGATTGGTCAATAATTAAATGTATCTACAGATGCTGGTGAAATAAGGATAAGATTATATGAATTGATCCCCTTTTAAGTCAGAAATTCATCGATCACTTTATTTCCACTACTACCTAAACCAAATTCATTGATGCAAGTTTCACACTGATAATAGTCGTTTGAAAAATTTCCTGATTTACTGCATAACGAACATATTGAAAGAAATTCATGATTTATCTTGTGAAAAAAATCCAACGATTCATCAAGTTTTTTATTTTTAATATTGCCAGACTTATACACACATTCTCTATAAATACGTTTACTACATTATCACATGGTATACCTGTGCGCAATTATTGCATGCTGTTGAGACATAAGGCCTACGAAATCTATATTAGTTATTATATTTGTTATGGCTTTGGATGAACGCTCTCGCTTACGTATACTTTGCTCATTGAATATACAACTGAGACTTTTCCATTTGCACCTCGGACAATTTGGTTCTCCAGAACATGCGGATTTAGACTTTCGACAATTATTACATGCAACAATAGCATAGCGGTACATAATTTCACAATTTTGAGTTTAACATTCACAACTTTGTTCGTAAGAATTTATTAAACCTATCATATTACAACCAGAAATGTTACCATTCACAACAAACTATTTATACATAATAGTTTTTTCGCGTACAATGTACATAAGTACGTACTGTATGTGTGTATAACAAACATCTCAATCATTTGTTCCTTTGAATTGTTTTTGAAATTTAATTGGTGCAACGTATCTTGTGTTACATGAATGATTCCGATGAAAGTTACCGTTCCTTTCATTTATTTTTTTGTAGTGACATTTAAGGTAAGGACGTTAAATTTAGAGGCGATAGAAATAAATATTCAACTTTCTACATGCAAAATTTCATTCCTGTCATTTTTAAACACTCATTTTTTGTATTTTCGCTTTGCTCACGTGCCTGCTGATCTATATTGTTTTTATTAGTGATATTTTCGAATTGGACGTCTATAGCGGATCAATTTAGTGTTAGGGTCACTTTACGTTAGGCTTAGTTTAGGTTTTAGGTGGTTATATGCAAAATTGCCTTCCCAACATTTTTAATTAACCTACACAAGGTAGGTTTAGACTGCCGTTTTTTGTATTTTTTCGGGGGTTTCGTTTTTCTTTCTTGTAGTGCTTCGCCGGCGATCATCATAATTCTATAATTTGATTGGCAGATAATCACGTGGTTTGCCTCCGCTTTAGAATCTTACCCAGGTGCGCCAACAAATTTTCACAGTCACGTGAACATGCATATCATGTTAGCCAATTAGAATACTGCTAATGTTGATATTTAACATTCATATAGTATTGCAGTAAAGAGTATTGCAACTAAGTCTTTAACGTTAAAATTTGGCTTATCACAAAGTAAAGAAAATAGGAACTAGAAGCTTGAGGTGACACTTCAACTTATACCCATCAAGGTTTTATATGCAATGTGACTTTCAAGACAAAAAAAAAATTAACAATAAAGGCTGATAAAAGGCGTTGATACAGTAAAGCTAAGTTTAAACAATACTACTTAATATTTTTTTGATCTAATAATTTTTTTTTTCTTTTATAGTAGATTTTTGGTTTATTACTAAGTGTATTATATGTTAAATGTTGAAAAAATGTTTGTAGTGTATTTCAAAAGATGATGAATAATTTCTACTTATGTTATTATGTACATTAAGAAACCAATAATTAAATATTGAATTTGGTTTTTTTTTTATTAATAATGAACTATAGGTATAATGAACTTGAATTTTTTATATCACAATTGTTAGTAGGAAATTACTGTAAATAACATGTGTTATGTGTGTGATCTTTTTAGGTTAAAGGTAAGGTTTTTTTATTCTTATACTTTTCTACCTCTTTAATCATTTTATTAATTGAATTAAAATTCTTTCTTATGCCTCTTGCCTACTAAACATTGTTAAATTTTTTTTGTTCTTCAAGAAGTGTCAATGTTTTTTTTGTCAAGGTTATCAGCTTGTTATAAATTTCACTATTATTTTCATTTTCAACTTCTTTGGTATTATTATAAATAACTAATTCTAATTGTGTTTCAAGATTCTGATCATCTTGATTATTTTGATCATCTTGATCACACTCAGTTATAAATGAAGGTTAGTGATTTCTTCTTATCTGGTTAAAAAATTCACTTGTTATTGATTCTTTTTGTTGGATTAAATGTTTGCAGATACTAAACTGATTAATTAAATAATATGGGTATCTGCATATCCACTAGTCTACATTGGTTGTATATATTTCATTTATAGAGTGTATTAATAGTATTTTTCATTCAGCCTTAATTGTTTTATTTATTCTGGGTTTTCTCTTTCAGTTCTAATTTGTTGTAATTTTCATAACTAGTGAGTAATTATTTTTTTTATTATAATGTAAATTATTAAATCAAGACATGGTCAGAAGAATTTATAGAGAAAGTCTCTTTTTATGACTTTTCAATATCTTTTTATGAACATAGTAGTTCTAAAAATTGACATTTTATTTTCACATATGGATCTAACCTATAATTGTCATCATTGTTCATTATATCATTTACTCTATAGATAATTCCAAAGTGAGATTAATGAATTATCTTTGCAAAAGATATATATCTCTTGAATAGCAGTTTTATAGATTTCTGTACTAGTAATAAATCAATCATTACATAAAGGAATTAATGGGTATTAATAAAGATGTTTCTCTATCATTGTCTAGATTATTTTACGCAATTCTTTGGGGCAGAACTTGGATAATTGGATAACATTATCAAAAGGAAATTGGGTACCAAACTCAGATAATGGATTGAATAAATTTTTGGGATTTTTGTCACTAGCCAGTAATGTCATTACAGTTCTTTTTATATGTCATTTATATAGTTGTATTTAAATTGTATTCTAGATAAAACATGCTGCATTGATTTGAGCAAAATTCTTATCCATAAGTAAAAAGTTTAGTTTAACTTCTTTATTGTACAATTTTGTGAGAAATGCTTGTATGATACCAGTACATATTCTCTCACCACATTTTCTATTATTTTCCAAAAATAAATAGGCTAGTAGGAATCCTGTACTATTTATTTTAGCCTGAAAGCAATAAAGCTCTATCTTAAAATTATTAGTATTGTCTAAAATTTATTATTACAAATTTATAGATTACAAATTGCAATTGTTATAATTAATAATAATTCTAATTAATTCAATAACATTATATAAGTATACTTGATAGCAAACTTTGAAATTACAATCTAAATTAGTTTAGAGTTAAGAATTAAGAACAACTTTACTTTGTTTAAAATTGAACTTTGTTATAGATTTGAAATAGTTATGATTTTAAAATTTTAGTTTGCAGACAAATATACTTGTAAGAAGTATAAAAAATTAGATGTTCTCAATATTTCTGAGAACATTAGATTTCCAACACTGCTTATAAGTAAAATAACACTTATATATGCATTGTTTTAGCATATTTATATGACTTTAATACAAAATGCTAATTTTTAAACTTAATATTTTATATCAATATATAGAGATTGTACCTGAATAACCATTTATTATATAGTTAATAAATTACTTGGATAACTGAGTGATTTATTAATACTCAGGTTGAAATTTTTTTGAT